AATTGAGCACCTCTCTGCCCCTATCGTTATAAACCCTGTTTTTGCAATTGAAAGCTCTTCTAAAACCCGTTTTATCCAGGATGTCAGATTCGTAAATCTCTTCCTCTCTTTCCCCGAATTCCACTATGAATCAATCAACGACCTCGTTGCACCTCTTTCCAGCTCTTGTCTTCAAGACTTTCTCACTTGCTACGATATTAAGAATGGTTACTATCACATCCCCATCCACCCCCCCCACCGACCCTACCTGGCTTTACAATGGAATGATCAGTTTTTTCAATTCACAACCTTGTGTTTTGGTGTCTCAGCTGCTTGTTGGATTTTCACAACCGTCATGCAAGAAATCATGGCAGAAATGAGAATCCGCGAACTTTTTATTTCATCTTATATTGATGACTCCGCCATTGGTAATCCCTTCATTCCCACACTTATTTGGCATTCGTTCAACTTCGTTGCCCTGTTGCACAACTTCGGGTTTTTCCTTAGTCTTAAGAAATGTTCCTTCCTCACCAGTCAGCAAATCAAGTTTTTAGGATTCATCATAGACTTGCATGCCAAACGCATCAGGATTCCCAGTGACAAGTCGGACAAGATTCTCCATCTCATCTGCACCTCCTCCTCAATTTCCCCATCCAGCCAAACTCTTGTCAAACTCGCCGGAAAACTTGTTTCTCTTTCCAAAGCCTTTTTACCAGCCCCTCTCTATCTCTCATCAGTATATGAAAGCATTTCCCCGTCCAATTGGGACTCCCCCGCACCTATTTCCGAAACTCTCACCCAAGACCTTCTTTGGTGGACCACTCATCTCCCTCTTCTCCCCGACCGCCTCTGGATTACCCGACCACTTTCAATTCACATTTCTTCAGACGCCTTCACCTCCCAAATTGCCACAATCATCAAACCTGTGCACTACCTCCCCATTTTCTTCAACGAATGCCTACCTTCTCACCTACTTCCGTCTTCCTCCACTCATCGCGAACTCTTTGCAATTCTTCAAGCCTTCCTTTTTCTTTCCTCTAAACATCAATCGCTTCTTCCCTCCTCTTCAATCAGACTCGAATCAGATAGTCAGGCAGTTGTCGCTCTCTTATCCAGACTTCGCTCTTCAGATCCAACCTTCAACCCTTGGCTTCGCCAAATCTCATCAACCCTCCTTAAATTTGACATTCAGTTAACGCTCGTTTGGATTCCCCGGAACCTCAACCAAGAAGCAGATGACATTTCCAAGATTGTTGACAACTCGGATTGGGGGCTTGCTGATTACGAACGCGTCAAAATCTTCGATGAGATTGGAATTCCAGATATCGACCTCTTTGCTTCAGAGTACCATCACGCCACCTCTATCTATATTTCTCGACTCTGGTCCAGCCAAGCTTCTTTCACGGACGCCCTCTCAATCGACTGGAACACTCTCCCAAACTCCTCCTACCGTTGGTTTTTTCTGCCAACATCGCTTATTCATTCAGTTCTGTCGCACGCGCATTTCATTCCCGCCTCCTACCTCCTCATCCATCCTTCTTCAACCAAGGCTAACTGGTTCCCTAGGATTGCCACTCTCAACATCATCAAATCATTTACCGTTCCGCAATCCCCCTTTTCCTGCATCCGCTGACCAAGAGTCCACCCTTCCACCCCTAACTCTGCTAAGTTCGGCTTAACAGCCTCTTTTTTTCACACTTAACCATCCCTATCCCCCTCCTGCTCCCCCTCTCTATCCACCACCTCTCCTTCACCCACCCCTTCTCCTTCCCTTTCACCACCCAATCCCGCCTCTTCCACATTTCTCTTCCAACCCCTCTTCATTCCATAACCATAGCGCATGAACGTTCCCACACTACTCCACATACCTTGCCGCATCATCTCACCTCAACTCCATCCTTCCTCTATCCCCGCCTGCATCCCCCCAATGCGAAAGTTGTGACCACTCTCTCCCTCGTATACCCCTGCTTCCCTGAACCACTTCTCTATCCTCTTCAAAAACGCACCTCCACCCAAAGCCCCCTCCCCTCTTCCAGATCGGAAAACATACCCTCTTCTCAAATCGGCACCGAATCTCTCATAAACCACAATCAAATCCGGCAATATTCCTAAAAATGTCTCCCCTTCATCGCTCAGTTCCCGCAACCGAATCAAGAACCGACCACCTTGTCTATCCGTCTTCGTGTATCCCGGCCTAACAACCCTATTTCTCACATCAATCTCCTTATATTGCAATCTCAATCCCTCTCCACTCTGGTGCCAGCTCTCCGACAAATACAAGAACAGTGTTGCATCCCGATAAGTCTCAACCTCTCTCATCCACTTCAACGTTCTTCAACTTCTCCCATCGCAATGGCCATGCTGATTCCTCCGTTACTCCCCTTGATAACGAATACTCACGATAAGCCCTTCTAAACGCCTTCACGCGTCTACTCTGGCACGGGTCCTCCGAACCATCTCTTCCAAGAAGACGAAAGCTGCTACTCAAGCAATTAATGACAGTATCAACAGTCGAAGGTGATACCATCGCCTCACCATCAACATCGGAAGTCCAGCATCGACCCTCCAGCTCAACAAGCCATTGGCTACTAAGGAACGACAAAACATCAAGATCAATGCAGGTCATGCAATCTCGACCCACACAATTCCGATCCAGCCATTCATTTAGCCCAAGAAGAAGCTTCTTCATTCCATTTCGCCATCGCCGACCGGGGCCGAACTCTTCAATCAGCGAACTTCTCCATTCAAGACCTGCCCTGTAGCCGCCTGCCACATCCGGAGTCGCTCGCTTCTGCCGCCAGCTTCCTTCACTCATCCGCTCGTTCCACCATTCCCTGCAAGACGACTTCGTCACTTGTGGGACGATGGAGGGATTTGGGTGGTATAGGAGGTGTGTGGGCCTGCGGCCCAACTCTATGACTCTCTTCTAAGTGATCTGGCAGCATCATCGGCTTATGGTTTTCATTTTTATCTGGATTTGGCCTGGACAGCATTTGCCCTATTCTACCCCTCGGCGTTGGCTTCCGTTTTCGAGGGCCCTCATTTCACTGCATTTCGTTGGGCGGTTTCAGACCGGTTAGCACTGGTCTTTTCAACCGCTGGTCGTTTTATTTTCTTCAGGATTCTTTCACCACTCTCGGTCTTCATCATCAACGGTTTGCGACGGTTTTGGATGCTTCTGGTTCCCTACCGGCTCACTGGCCATCCACATCTACGGAGGTTCTACGTTTGACTCTGCATCTACGATGGGCTTCGAGGCTTTCGTGTGGACTCACCCGGGATGCAGCAGACTCTCGCTGACTCTCCCTCCGCTGCTTCCAGGAGCTGCCACTGTATAAGTGAGGGAGGCAGGACCGGTCGCTGCAGGTTGAGATGATTCGCGCTGTGCTCCCTCCGGTGTGCGCCCCCCAGCTGCAGCGCCCATAGCGTATGCAAATCTGCAAGTCATGTCACGCCAGCCAGCCAGGTCATTTGGATGAGTGGTCGTTTTCACTCGCCAATTTTGGCGAAGCGGCCCCACCCACCCTCGATTTTTCCTGTGGTGTGTGGGCCTGCGGCCCAACTCTTTGACTCTCTTCTAAGTGATCTGGCAGCATCATCCGCTTATTGTTTTCATTTTTATCTGGATTTGGCCTGGACAATATCCCCTTCACAGAGTGAGAGGTAGCTATGCTTTTTTGCAGGGGTCCCCTATAGATAGCCTTAGGAGTAGGTAGGTAGTAAAAGGCAAGAAGTTGAGAGAAGAATATAGAAGGGAAGAGTTCCCAAAAAAAAAAAAATTAATAAAATAAAGAAAAAGAAAATAAAGATGCCCCAGTCGGCATTGAGCAGAGTCTGCTGATGTTCGTAGGCGCGGGGACCTGAGGGGAGCCACAGGGATTGGTCCTGCTGGCGTGGCGCCCAAGGCAGGGGAAGCGACGTTTATTGCAGAGAGACACAGCGAGAGACGGGACAGGCAGAGGGAGACGGAGAGGAGTCAGCATTGCCAGGATTGCTGATGATGCACAACACGACCAGTCATCGGGTGGCTCTGTCTAGCTGTAGGGGTTGGACAGACACCTGGCAGTTGCTGCTTTCGGCATTTTCCGTTTTTCTTAATTTTGGCATATTTTCTTGCAGGCTCCACCTGGCAGTCGCGGGAAGCAAGAAAAAACAATTCTTTTTTTGGTCCATTGTCAGAAAAACAAAACAAAAATTCCGTTGTCATTGACGTGGCGGATCTTGGCCAATGCGGTTGCTCGTCACGTCATTCGGCCGTTGTTGATTTCAACAACAAATCAACCGAGGCTCGGTCTACGGGCCCAGTGGTCCCTCCAAGGGCCCTACGAGATCATGAATCTGGCACATAAACAGAGCCAGAATTGTTCCAACGTAAGAGAGGCCGACGGTGGTCCCTCGAATGGATAGAAAGCGGCCTCAAAGTACTAAACAACGGCCCTAGCGGTTCATGAATCTGGTGCTGAAACCGTGCCAGATTCGTTGTCCCGTTGCAACAGGCCCACGATCTGTGGCCATGGCGCCAGGGCACCTTTTCAGCCACGGTAAAGTTTGTATTTAGAGGAAAAAAATAAAATAAAATAATAATAATAAACAAAATCAAAACAGGGGGGCCGGGACCCATAGTTTAACCCGGAGCGTGAGCTGAGTTGTCTTGGGGGGTGTCTGGGTGGGTGTGTGGGGCGGTGAGGCACTTGGGTCCGAGCTCACCCCGGCTGATGAGTACGGGGAGAGTGCTCACCCCTCAAACTCACCCGGGGTAATTAGTCCAGCCGGGCCCCAAGTCCAATCCCCCCCTCTAGTGGGACCTACCGGTAGTCCCCGGTTTGGGTGCCCATGCCGTTGCTCTATAAAATAAATAGAGACATCACAACAGGATCGTTGTCAGCACCAACGACGGCTGCCTCTCTGCATCTATCGTCCTCGCTTCTGCACTCTCTGTGTCCCTCGCTCTTCCTTTCTCTACGTACTTGACTTCGTTCAATCAATCGATCTCATCTCGTATCGGAGTCTAGACGGCGGGCTCTGCTTTCCTCCATCCCTCCTCTCTCATCTGACAGACTTCTTCTCTGCTCTGCTTGCGACGCGGAACTGCGAAAAGGCATCGGATTCCGTCCATCCCGCCAAGGTAAGCCGCGATGAAGAGTGGATAAGATTCAATGAGTGAAGCAGGGGATAAAATTTGATATCGTTTTGAGTCATGCCAATGAAATCCATCCGTGCGAAGAACTACTTAACACCGCTCTCTCTCTGTCTCTCTCTCTCTCTCTCTCTCTTTCTCTTTCTCTCTCTCTCTCTCTCTCTCTCTCTCTCTCTCTCTCTCTCTCT